ATTCCTCTAACAGTGGGTATGCATGACACTCCTCAGGTCAACATTCCTCCGGCTTTTACTTTACTGAAATTGTGATGCAGAAGAGATTTTTCTGTTCCAAATATGACAAATCCAGAGGCTTCTGGTGGAATGCAGGTTAGAGGTTATGTAGTATGTTAGACACATGTAACCTTTTCTAGGTATGGTATATATTTTTGGCTTTTTTTTTTTTTTTAAGTAATCTAGGTCCTACGTTTCATCCACTTTGGATCGAAAAGCTTCTAAACTCACTTATTCCGCCATCCAATTAAAATCTTTTAAGAATTAAGCAATCATTTCCTGACTTGCCAAGGATTAAATTTAGATGCTTGGTTGAACATGAGCCTTATCTTTCAAGCCATCACTTTTAATTGGAGCATATAAAAGGATAACACAGGGTTTTAGCTGGCATCGTAGTCTACCGCCATGGAAATGTAAACATGGCTTGTCTCAAAGCAAGTTTTAGGGGTACAGAGAGACTGGGAGATGGGAGATAAATTATGTAAAAAACAATGCTGTAGATGTTGGAGTGCCCTCGGAGTTCAGACCTTCAGTGATCTCATCCTGCCTCATGACCTCAAATATCCTCGATACACTGGTGACTCTTAAATTTCTATCTCCAGCTGGTCCTATTCTCTGAACTCCGAACTCCTATATCTGTCTTTTTGACGGCCTCAGTTGGATGTCTAACAGGCACCTCGAATCTCACATGTCCACTCTGAGCTCCTGATACTGCCCTCTTCCTAGCCAGCTTGCTCTGCTCCCAATCTTGTTTCTCGGCAAAAGTCAGCTTCCCCTTCCTCATGCAGAGGCCACAGAACTTGGGAGTAATCCTTGACCCATCTGTAGTCCTCAGCAAATCCTGTCAGCTCTGCTTTCAAAATATAATCAAAAGATGCTCACTTCTTCCCACTTGGACTGCTTTCAAGCTACCGTCATTTCTTGCCTGGATTATTTTAACAGCTCTGAACTGGTCTCCCCTTTTTTGCCCTTGCCTTCCTTCAGTCTGTTCTCACAGCCCCCATAGTGATGATATTAATATGTACATCACATTAGGTCACCCTTCTGCTCAAACCCTCCAGTGGCTTTTCATCTTATTCAGGGTATGACCCAACATCCTTTAATCATTAATCGCCCTCCCCCCTCCCTTTCTTTCTTCTTCAGCCACACTGGACTCCTGCTGTTCACTGATCATAAGAGGCATGTTTCCACCTCAGGGCCTTTGCATATGCTCTTATCCTGGGTATCTGTACGGCTGGCTTCCTTTCCTCCTTTAGGTTTTTACTCAAAATCACCTTCTTAGTGAGGCTTTCTGTGGGCAAGGACCTAAAATTACTACTCCCATCTCCCTTTCATGCCTTATTTTCCTCCTTAGCATTTATCTAACATACTATGCATTTTACTTATTTCTACTGATACGGTCTCTTCCATTAGAATGTAAGCTCCATGAGGCAGGGATTTTTGGCTATGTTTTTCACTGCTGCATCCTCTGCATTTAGGGAAGTACCTGGCATATATACAAAGTCAATAAATATTTGTCAAATGAATAAAAGATGGGTGATACATGTCATAAGAAATAAAGATTATTAATGAAAGCATGATTAACAAAGATCTGTGAGCTTAATCTCCAACGAAGTTTATCTGTTGTTGGGTTTTCATGGAATTCTGTCTTTGGAGGAACTCTGACTTAATTTTCCACAAGCTTGATTTATCTTTGCATTGTGGAACTTCAGAGATGAGTGTTCAAGAAGAGAATAATGATAAACATAGGTCCTATTAAATAATGCTCAGTTTGTCATGTTGGATGAGCTAATGATATTTTAAAATTATTAGTACACAGAGCTTACTATTCATAGCAAACTGAAATTAGACATAAAAAAAGTTGCTCATTGAATTAGCAGTGTCTGGCACACAGTAATGTAATATATAAAGTGAATTGGATTGGGTGCTGTCCAAGAGGGCTTGGTTACGGAAGTAGTTTTATTTCTGAAGTGATTCTACAGTATAGGCACCGGTGTCCAAGTTGGTGCCAGTTAAACTAAGAAATAAAGGAAGGGACAGTCATGAAGATACCATCTTTAGACTTGAAAATTACAAATCCTTAGTTGTTCTCCTTTATCAGCTTACAAAGTAAACAATAAATGCACACACTATAAGCTTTCAAATGAACTGCAGATGAAAAGGGCAATAAATACCAGCCCGAGGCAGAGGTAGAGGCAGAATGCTGTAATGGAAAGATAAAGCTTGGGAAACGTGGGTTTCCAGCTTTCACTGTGACACTAACTGGCTGTGTGATTTGGGGTGAGTCATCTAACTAGTCTCTTAGTTAGCTCACCTGTAAAATGTGGAGAATGGACTGATGGGCTTCAACGATCCCCCAAGCTCTAAGTATTGTAAGATTTTTTCGACTTTAAGCTTTATCACTGTGGTAGGCAGAATAATGTCCTCCCCCCCCACTCCCCACCCCCAAGGATGTCTACATTCCTAACCTCCAGAACTTGTGAATGTTACATTACATGGCAAGGGAAATTAAGGTTGCTAATAAGCTAACTTAAAATAAGGATATTATCCTGAATTATCCATTTGGGCCCAATATAATCGTAAGGGTTCCTGTAATGTAGAAGAGGAAGAGGAAGGTAGAAAGTGAGTATCAGAGTGATGCCATGTGAGAAAGACTTGACTGACCATTGCTGGCTTTGAAGATGAAGGGGTCATGAGCCAAGGAATGTGGGAAGCCTCTAGAAGCAGGAAAAGGCAAGAAAACAGATTTCTCTTAGAGCCTCCAGGAAGGAATGCAGCCTACAGACACCTTGTTTTTAGCTCAGTGAGCTCTGTGTCAGACTTCTGACCTCCAGAACTGTATTAAATTTATATTATTTAAGCCACTAAGTTTGTCAATTTGTTACGGCAGCAAGAGGAAATGAACACAATCATGATATGTACCATAACTAGCAAAGTTGGACCCAAGTTTATCACAGATGCAGGGTTTTAAATAAAAATTCTATACTCAGGTATTTTGTAAAGATCTTCAGAGGCAGGAGTAATCAGCAACCAAAAGAAGTTTGCAGATAAGCTGTGAGGCAGTCTTTAAGGGAGTAAAATTTTTACTAGTGATTCATGAGAAGTAGAAACCTGGTTATTTTACAAAGGAAAGAAAATGGTGAGAGAAGAGACATTAGAAAGGTTATACACAACATGAGTTTCTTATTTCTCTGGACCTCAGTTTACCCCTTTATGAACTGAAGGGCTGGGATAAATAATCTCTAAATTCCTCTCTTTTTTTATTTTTAAAGGGGGCGGGGAGAGAGAGAGAGGGAGGGCGAGAGGAGCAGAGGGAGAGAGAGAGAGAATCTTAAGCAGGCTCCATGCCCAGTGCAGAGCCTTGCGTGGGGCTTGATCTCACGACCCTGAGATTATGACCTGACCTGAAATCAAGAGTTGGACGCTTAACCGACAGAGCCATCCAGGCACCCCAAATTCCTCTAGCTCTTAAATAAGATTTTAAAATCCCAACATGTTACATGAGCCTTTGACACTCCACTCTCCCCCAAGTATGAAGAGTATTCATTTTATAAAGTATAATTATCCTTTATGTCTGATGGTCAAGCTTCACAGAAAGCTCAGACTTAGTTTAAGAAGAAAGTGGCTCTGAATTTTAAACCTGACACTTACTCAGGTAGGGTGCATGGGAAAATTGCTTAGCTTTCTCTTTTGCCACTGCACCTATAAAAGTATGTTTTCAGCAATCACTATACCTGCCCCTAGCAGTCTCTCCCCCTTCCTACTCTTGGTCTGGAAATTTGATTAACCTAGCTTATAAATATTTTAAGCAACATAAGACTAAACTGGTTACATACAGACCCTAGAGCTATTTTCTAGGTAAAACATGGGTGGTGCAGAGATTTGGTGACTTGATTTTCCCAAGACCTTTTTACTTATTTCCAGGCTCTCTGCTGTCCTTTGGAAAAGCAAGGTTGCAGGACAGATGAGGTCTTAACTGTGGCATGTCTGATCATTTTTAATTTTTATAATGTAAAAAAAATAGTATATTTGAAAAGCCACTCACAAAAATATTAAATGGAAGCAATCTGAACGGTAGAATTTTCTTGGAATATATGATTTTTTTTACAATGAACATATTTTTATAATTAAAAAAGCCATTTTCCCTTCCTCCCTTTTTTTTTTTTTTTTGAGTAGGCTTTAAACCCAAGGTGGGGCTTGACCTCACAACTCCAAGATCAAGAGTTGCGAGCTCTAGCACCCAGCCAGCTAGGCACTCCGCCATTTTCATTAAAAAAAGAAAAATTAGGGATCTCTCCAACCAACCTATTTTCACTTAGCATATTTTCATTATTTAATTTTTTTTTATTATCGTTGTAAACATTGTGTTTATGGGTTTTTATTCTGATTCACACTCGGGTTGCCATAAGATAACCCATATACTGATACATACAATACTGAAAAACAAGGCGTAAATATGAACTGTTGCAGGAATGCCAACAGTCAATATGGTGAAGGGTGATTGATCGATCGCCTTTTTGACCTCTGCTCCACTCATTCAAGTTCAGACGAATAATACCCAATCTGGTTCATGTCACTGTTCACAAACACCTTCCTTCATTTTGTCCTCATAACAACCCTGGGAGGCGGGCACGTTCTCAGAGATAAAATGACCTGACCAAAGTTACTTAGGCTAGTCAGGGGACAGGTTCAGCAGCCTGGTCAAGAAAACCGGAGGTCTATGCAGGCGCTTCTAGTAACAGTAAGAGCTTCCACTACACCCTGGCCTCTACGTTCCCTAACTTGACAGTTACCTTTACCAACTCAAATCCTGCCTCTTCCACGCCAGGGAGGCAGGTTGCGGGCTAGGGAAACCTGTAACTCACCCCAAAAGCGGGCACTCTCCATCGCCAAAGCCCCGGTGCCAAGCACAGTCCGCCCCCTCCCGCGACCGCAGGCTCTGCGTACTGAGCCGGACTAACCTGACCAGGTCGGTCATGCAGGAGCCCACCACTACCACCGCGGCCACCTCCTCCTGCCACTGCCGGCCCGGTTCCCCAGATGCGGCCATGGCCCAAAGGTGGTGCTCGCCAACCCAGAGGCTGACCTTTGCCCTTTGTCCAGCCCCGTAACCAGAAACGCCGCTTCTACGCTCCCTAACGATGCGGGCCTTCCAGACGCCTCTGCGGGTCGCCCACCTGACTGCCCGAAATAACCCCGCCCCCAACCGCCCTCTGTTCTTCCCGGGACGGTCTCCCTGCACCACTTCTCGTTACAGAGCCCTCCCGATAGTTCCAGACTCCACGCCGCTCGCCACCCACGAGGCCGGCGCGGAGGAAAGACCCTTCAGGCACTGCGGGGACGCCTTTCCGAGTGCTCGGCTCGGTGCGTCCGGGGGCGCGCACGCCGCCCGGCTCCCGGGCCGCAGAGGAGGCGGGGCGGGACGTGCGGGGGCGCGCACGCATCCGGCTCGCGGTGCGCGCGCAGGTCGGTGCGTCAGTCGGGGGCGCGCTCGGGTAACCTGTACCCCCACGTAGTCGCCGGTTACCGATCGGACTAAGTTCCAGGTACCTGGACTGGGGCTGGTGCGGGGAGGTTGGATCCCGAGTCGCACAGGTGGCCTGTGCACAGGACCGTGGTTTAAGTATCCCTGGGGCTCGCCGCCTCTTCCTATAGAGAAGGCCCCCGTTCCAGAGATGCCCTGCTCATCCCCGTCATGCTGGTCCCCGCAAGAACGAGTCCCCCAAGGCCAGAGGCTGCTCTTTTTGCGTATCTAGCCCGTCCCCTGCTCCCTCAATAACCTCAGACTCCTTTCTCTTGTCCGCCTGATGAGGGGACCATACAGTTTGGGAAAAGGGACAGTATCCCTTTTTAGATGGCCCCTAGAGTGGGGTGGTCATTCTCTGGGTCTGAGCCGACTTGTTTTTCTTGAATGTTGCCCCTGGAGAAATTGCTTCCCCACTTAACTTCCCTCGTGCGCTGTATGACGTTGAGGTGACGCAGCAGGACGCCACCCCTTTCCGTTCCATGACGTCAGCAGGGCACACGTTTCCGTGTTTGTCATCCCATCTTAATTGCGAGATACTGGACGATGCCTTAGACGTCTTTGTAGTCCCCAGGCTGCCCATCCGAGGACCTTATGTGAACCTGTTCGAGCAGCAGACCCTGTAAAAATTGTATTTCTGCATTTTCCTTCTGTAATACCTCAAAATCAGGAAATATAAATTGCACAACTAGCATTCAGGGGAGGCTGACTGCTGTAAATTTGTGCCTAGCTGGGATCTATTATAGAACTGTGATATGTAAAAGCCACTATTGGGGGTGAGCCCCCATCCATGTCCCTGGCTCAAAAGAATCACACCAAAGAACCATCATCTTTGGCTGTTTGGTGACCTATGGTTTTGGAGTATTTCCCCTCTGTCTTAGAGAAGTCACTACACTTACGGTTGAAACAGATTTTAACGCTGCGGGAAGTCTTGCACTGTCAAAAAATAGTATTGTAGCTGTTCTGAAACAAAGAAATTAATTCCTTCAGGTATTAGTTGAAGGTCTTGACAGTTGCTGAATTGGGACGGGTTGTGTCACCTTAAGTATAGTTTGGCTTTTGTTGCAGGTTTCTTCCCTGTAGCATCTGACTGGTCGATCACTCAGGCCAGGTTTGGCAGCAGACCAGCTGTAGTCAAACGTGTTTCTGGTGGTCACGCAACCATTAGTTCAACTTCATAATTTTTTTCTGTTCCAATTTTATAAGTTGTACACTTAAACAGATGACTTTAATGCCTTTCTCTTTGGTGATTGCAATTATACATGCTTATGTGAGAGGAGGATGGGTATAGTGGACTTTGAGGGAGATCTGGATTTGAATTCTGATCTTTATTCTTGCTATGTTTGTGACCTTGAAAAAGTTACTTAGTCTTGCTGAGCTTTAGTTTTCTTATCTGTGAAATGGGAACAATAATAGTCAGAGAACAGGGTTGTTGGGGGGAAGTAAATGAACTTACAGGTAGAGGTGGGTGATATAGTAGTGCCTGATACTCAGTTGACTTTTCAGAATGTGTTGATTCTTTTTCCATTTTTCATAGAAATGAGAGGTAAAAGAATGATAGGTATTATGGGAAAAAAGCATGGAAGAATAATTTTGTAATGTAGGTGAGATCCTTTGCTTTTTTTCCAGATGAGTATTTCTGTGTTTTGCATATGATCTAGATAAGCATCCTTTCAAGAACTGTGACATCAGTGGATAGAAATAAGAATGGAAATGTCGCAGAATAGGAAAAAAATAAGCTTCAAAATGATAATATGGGTTAGTATGCTGTTCAAAGGCAAATTACAGAAGTTATCCTTATCTCCTGTAGAGTGGGAATTCTGATACCTGCCTACTGCCCAGGATTGTGATGATCAACTGTAATAATGTATTTGGAAGCTCTTTACAAGTGGTAGTGTTATAAAAATGTACAGCATGATTTTTATGGTTGATAATACAGGGCATTAGATGTATATTCTTACTTTGTAGTGACATTGGAATGGTGGAGGGAGGTCATCTGTTAAGTGGCTGGAAGAGGATCTTGTTTTATATTTGCAGAAAGGATGATTTGAGTACTGAAGTGTAAAGCTTTTGCCGCCTCAAAGGTACTTCTGGGTGTCATCACTATATAAGGTCATCAAGTTATTTTTTGAAAGATCATTGCAGTCCTTCCCTTTATTACTATCTGAAATGATTAAAACAGGTACTGGTTTTCAACATTTATTTTGGCAGGGACTTGTAAGTCCTCATATGGTAAAATATATGAAAACTAGGACCAGAACATCATTTCCTTGTAGTTGTAACTTGTAAGAAATTAGTTTGCTTTTGATGCAGGATTATCCTTTCAGATTGAGGAAGAAAGTGATTATTTAAATGGACTTATTCACCTCTGAAAGTAGAGGTTTTCATTTAGAAATCTATTTAGAGGAATTCATGCGTTCCCTCTCCTAACCCCTTGGGTTTCCAAATAATTTAGATACGCTTTGTTGGTTTTACTTCTGTATTTTCAAGTGTAAGAACTTCTTAGTGCCTGAAAGGCAAAGACTTTTAGATCCATGTTAGTTTGTGTTGCTTAATATCTGGCTAAGTGTTTATTTTCATGATTCAGTTGTTAAATAGCTTTTTGCTACATATGTTCCTCAGATACATTATCCTCGACCACATTTTTTGAGGGTATATTGTCTTCTCTCCATACCTCAATATTTCTCTAGTTTTGGTCTCTTTATTCATTTGTTTATTAAAAGATTTTTACTGGGTGCTTAGCGTGTGCCAGGTACTTTTGTTAAACACTAGGGATTCAAGACATAGTCCCTGCAGGGGGGAGATCACAAAGCAGGTAGTTACAACACACTGTGGATGGACAGCATATCAGAAGTAAATAATTTCTCGTAAGTAACAACTGGTAAGCAGATTATGCTTATTCTTGAATTTTATACAGTATTACCAATCAAGTCCTTCTTGTGGGGACACAGAGGTAGTGGTTCCTAACTTAATGGTGTGTACATGTTGTGTGTTGGGGGAGAGGATTGTTAGCAAAGGCTTCTTAATGCCTCAGAGTAGGAAGCTGCCGGTTGTAAGATAGGGCAGGGTAGCTTTAGGTCGTGTGGGGCAGTGTGGCGGTCAGCTTTGGAAAGGAGGAGGGAATTGGATTTGAAAGGTTGCTTCTGTTCCTGAAAAGCATTGATTCAGTCTCTGTCCGGAGGAGGTGAGCAACGGGGGGGTTGGTTTCTTCTGAGGGTCATTGGAAGAGGCCGTTGTAAGACAGGAAATGAGGTATTTATTCATACAAGAGAAACTTCCTTGTGCTGTGCCAGTTTTCAGGAAACTTGTTCTATCTAGTTCCTCTGAATACTCTGACCACCATTCTTCTGCTTTCAGTGGTGATTTGCAAGTCAAGCTAAAATGTCCCCAGAAGTGGCCTTGAACCGAATTTCTCCAATGCTCTCCCCATTCATATCTAGTGTGGTCCGCAATGGAAAAGTGGGACTGGATGCTACGAGCTGTTTGAGGATAACTGACTTGAAGTCTGGGTAGGTACCAGAACTACTTCAACTAATGGATCAGACCCAATCCAGCCTTTACCTACTAATAAACTTTTCTCACCAGATTCATAAAAATTGAACACCACAGAAATTCATCAAGTCATGATCTTATCACATGATGATGCAGTTGGTTTTGTCCAGATCTTGACATTTTGTGTTTCTAGTTGTTGTATTTGAGTTGTGGGCCATTGCTTTATGATCACAATGTTTGTGTCTTTTTTTTTTTTTTGGCATGTCTCTTTGTTAATAGTGTGCCATGTGGTTGTTAGCAAGTATGTTTTTCATTCATTGACTTTATGTCTGCTGCAATCCAGCATGTACCCTAAGAGTTGGGTTTTGGGATTCTGAATCTGTTATCTCTCCTAATAAGAAAATGGGATTGGTAATCTCTCCTAATAAGAAAATTATAATAGCTAGCCAGAATGAGTCATTTTTCACAATGGGGTTGGAACAGTAGAATCTCACACCTGGAAATGTTGCATTAAAAAGCCCTGACTTTTTATTTCAAAATAAATGTAGATTTACAGAAAATTTACAAAATTCTACAGAAAATTAATATTGCTATAATGCTGTTGCTTGTTCTACAAGCCTTGTTTGAATTTTGCCAGTTTTCCCACTCATGCATGTCCTTTTTTTGGTCCAGGATCCAATCCAGGATCCAGACCGAGTTTAGCTGTTGCATCTTGGTCTTCTTAACCTGTTACTGTTTCTGTCTTTCTTTGTCTTTCATGATTTTGACACTTTTTTTAAAAAAAGATTTTATTTATTTGTCAGAGAGAGAGCACGCACAAGCAGGGGGAGCAGCAGGCCATGGGAGAAGCAGGGAGCCCAATGTGGGACTCAATCCCAGGACCCTGGGATCATGACCTGAGCCGAAGGCAGGTGCTAAACCAACTGAGCCACCTGGGTATCCCGATTTTGACACTTTTGAAAATAGCACTGGTTAGTTATTTTGTAAAGTGTTGCTCAGTATGGGTTCATCTACTGTTTTCCCTTTATTACAGTGAGAATTGCATTTTTTTCCCTAAGCATACTATAGAATTGATGGTGTATGGTTTTCAGCGCGTTAGGTCAGGGAGTACGTGATGTTCATGCGTCTGTGACTGGTATGTTAACTTGGACCACTCAGGTGGGATTGTGTCCACCACGTTTCTCCACTATCGCGTTAGCTCCCTCTTCCCTTTGTCATTGGTAGGTATCTTGTGGAGTGATGTCTTGAGATGGTGCAGATGTTCGCTTCCTCACTGTACTTTTGGCCACAAATTTCAGTGTCCATGGGCGCGTCGTTCTGGCCTGCAGTCATTACTGTCATGCTGATCTAAGTGATTTTCTATTTCCCTTACTCCCCCCCACACTTGTTAATTTGAATTCTGCTGTAGAGAAGCGTTATCCCTCCTCCCCCAGTGACTTACTTATTTGCTTATTTGTTTATGTCGGTGTGAATTTTGAGGTGTTTATTTTAGTCTCTAGGTTGTCATCCAAACACTGTGTTCATTTATTTTGTTGCTCAGTTGTTCTAGTGTTGTCATTGGGAGCTCTGTTGAGTTGGCATTTGTGTCTTTTTGACATATCCCTATCAGTTTTTGAGCACTTTCTTACTAGAAATATGTTGCATTCTTGATTCTCTTTTAGCTTTTCTTTTTAGTTTCTTTTGTCTGCTATAAGTCTTGCTGTTTTTTGACTAAGCTGAAGACTTAGATATGAGGATATACACTTACTTTCTTCAGTAGTGAGATAAAGAAAACTAAGTCAGTTGGATACTTTCTTGGAAAATAGGATGCTTTTTTAAAAGATCTGGCATTGGGGCACCTGGGTGGCTCAGATGTTTGGGCATCTGCCTTTGGCTCAGGTCATGATCCCGGGGTCCTGGGATCGAGCCCCACTTCGGGCTCCCGGCTGAGCGGGGGACCTGCTTCTCCCTCTCCCTCTGCCTGCTGCTCCCCCTGCTTGTGCTCTCTCTCTCATAAAAAATAAAAAATCTTAAAAAAAATAAATAAAAGGTCTGGCATTATCTTCAATTTAGTCAGTGGGTAGGGGGTTTCTTTTGGGGCAAAAATGTCCTAAAAGTCGATAGTGGGGATGGTTCTACAATTCTGTAAATACATGAAAGGTGACTGGACTGAACTGTGCACCTGTAAGGTTTTTGTGGGGTGTGGATTATAGCTTAGGGAAGCTGTCATCAAAAGAAGCCAAACCCATGAACCAGGGATGTTTCCTGTCCCAAATGAATAGGGCATGGAAATAGGTCTTTTTTCTTTAGTTTGTCACAAACATTTTTTTTTTTAAAGAGATGTTGAGGACATGACGGGGGACTGAGGGCCAGAGGACCGGGACTGGCTTATGTAAGATGATGTCGTCTGAACTTCTTACTCCTTGTGTCAGTATCCTGAGAGAACGTTTGGGTTCATCAGCATGAAGTCACTTTATTTCTTTTCCACAGACTCTTTCTCCAGTGCTCCCCAATTCCTGAATGTTTGGTTGAGCATTTAAATGCAAATAGTGGATCTGGTGATACATTTGAAATGAATCCACTAGACCTGGCCCGGGCTGGACTAGCTCTGTGAAAAATATTTGAAATGGCATCAGTGGCATTTAGTATTTATGGAATTTACTTTCTTTAGATTTAAAAAAAGAATGCAAATACCTCTACCTACGTTAACAAAGTTGCTGTGCATAAAATGATGTGAAAAGCCTTATTGATCTAGAGCATTAGTGATGCCTTTTATGTAGTGCTTGTCTGAAAGATTCATGAAAGTTCCTCAGAATCTCATTAACAATTCTTTCTTCAATCCTTCCATCAGGCAAAGTGTGCATTCCTCAAGTTTCTATAGCAAAACAGTGGTGGGGTTTGGGAACAGAATGGCTTCTTCTTAGTGTGTCACTTATTGGCATTTCCCCTTCTTTCAGATCAGCGGCACTCATGGTTACAAGAAATGGGGTGCACATTTGTGAGTTCTGTGAACTGGAAGGGCCATACCCTATAGCGCACAGCATACACAGAACTAGTCTTGTTTCTATATATGGCTATTTGCCCTTGAAGAGATGAGGTGTGAATATCTATATTCTAGATCTGGCTCATAGGAGGAATAGATAGGTAAGAATCTATTCAAAGTAAGATATTTTTTTAAAAAATAGTAACTCGTCTTTATTTCTCTAATGGCACCTAAATCTTTGTACCGTAGGTACACCTATGTATGTATGTGTGTATGTGTGTATGTATGTACATGTGTGTGTGTTTCTAAGCTCCACTGCTAGACTGTCACAATCTTAAGGACAGGGTTCTTATTTATTTTTAGACCTCCTTAAGGTCTGCTATGGTACCTTTCCCATATAGTGTAGCAAGTAGGGGTTGAATGAGTGAAGAGGTAAGATGTTTTCCTAGAGAAGATGCCTGGTTTGGGGATCATAGTGGTTTGGACTTCTGGCTTGGAAACCTGTTTCTTGGTCTGGTGGATTATTGCTTAATCTTTGTTATATGTAATCCTTTAAAATTTCATTTCTTGACAAATGAATTGATACTTTTGAAATTATAGTGAAGTGTATTATAGTATGGGGTTTACTATTCTAGGTAGAGGGGCCAAATTTTAATTTTAGGGAATTATTCCATGAGGCCACTGACTGTTTATTAGCTTTTTGCTCTGTGTTAAGTTGATCACAAGCATGTGCTATTTGTAAGATGCCATATTTTGTCATTTTTAGTGATTTACTAATCTTGAAGCTGTCTACATGTTCAGTGTTCTGGAATGGTGCCTGGCAAATATAAGAGAGGAAAGCAGAGGGCTTACTGCAACCTGTGGTAGCCAAGCCTTATTATCTTTTTTCAGCATATCACAGTGACTCACCCTTACTGGCACATGGCTGTGTTTGGGGCATCTGCTATGACATCTCAGCCGCCCACAACTACCTGTTGCATTTTTTGTTCATGTTCTGAATTTCGTTACTTAATTAAAAATAGATACTCAGTGTACTTGGTTACTAAATAGAACAGTTTTCAAAGATGAGCGCTGTAAGCTTTGAAGACTGATCTCCGTTTGCTGCGTTGGTCCCTTTGGCTGGCCGACTGAGGCTTTATTAGCCCTGTGCCTGGAAGGAAGCTGCTGGCCCAGGAGGCAATACTTTAATTTTGAAGATGGGCAGCTTTTAACCATTTTGCATCCAGTTGTTCACTGGGCTTTTCCGTTTCACTTTTTTTTCTGTATTCTTTTGTGATCTTTTTCCTTTTCTCCCTGTGCATATCTTTATACTTTATGTATTCATTATATAAAATATATCCCTAAGCCATATATAGTATTATATTACATGTTTAAGAAGTTTATACAAATGGTGTCATCATATATATATATATATATTCTTTTGCAGCTTGCTTCTTTTGCTTAGTAGGAAGTTCTTGAGATTTACTTACATTAATACTTATGGTTCAAGTTCTTTGGTTTGCGCTGCTATATCATATTCCATTGTATGACTATGCCTCCAATTTTTTATTCACTCTCCCACTGATTGACTTATATGTTGTTTTAAATTTCTTTTGACAAAGAATGCCATAATGAACATTCTCTCACCTTTGTGCAAGAAAATATATATATGAGAATATTTTCTGGGGCATGGGTTTTTGAACTGGGTGTGTTTACCCATTAGTGGTTATAAAATCTATTGAGTGAGTCACTCAACATTTAAAAAATGAATGAGAATAGGATGGAAACTACCAGAATGTGTCACACATAATAAGAATAAGCACTGTCTTGTGAATTTTGCTTTCAGTTAAATAAGTATGTATGTACTGGGTTAAAACGTAAAATATGTGTGTCATGAAAAAAAATGTTTGAAAGCAAAAAAAAAAATGTTTGAAAACTATCCCTCTAGGGTATATTCCTAGGAATAACATTGCTGGCTCTTAAGGTATATGCATCTTCTATTTTATTAGATATTGCCACATTATATCAATTTCCTTCCACCAGAACTGAATGAGAGTTTGCATTGTTCTGTAGCCT